AGCTCGTAGGATTAACCCCTTAATTCATCATCAATTACTTACCCTTCCTTCCTCTTTATCACCTACTGGAATTATATATCAACAAGGTAATGAATGGTATTATAGAAATGTATACATGTCACAATTCTCTGCAATGATCTGTAACTCCTTATTTACAAAAAATTATAGACTTGATAAGGATGGGAAAACACTTTTTAAAAACAACTTACTGATAAAGAGCCCACAGAAATCATTGTGCTACTAAATAAAACGTAGATTATTCCATACCGATAATAATTGGCTGGTAACATTAACGTGTTACTTAGGATATATAGATAACAATATCCTGAAGATTCCCTTCAAGATTTTTTTAAGCCACCCCATAGGTATTACCTAAAATTACATCTAAAAATCCTGTAGAGGTTGCTTTTTTCTATTTTATTCATTTTTTATTTAAGTTAGAAACAAGCTTGTTTCACATGTCAATCCCAGATCCCTCTCCCTCCCCTCCTTTCCTGCCCTCCCCCCCAGGCACCCCAGTCTCTGCAATACATCTTTACATAGTTAAACAGTTATTCTGCAACACAAACAAATGCAACACATCTTTACATAGTTAAACAAATATTCTACTACACAACAATGGGGGACAGAAAACAGCATAGGATACCCTGGAACTGAAATGACTGGTGGTTGTGAGCTGCTGTATAGGTGCTGGGAACAGAGTCTGGGTTCCCTTCAAGTCCTGAAAACCCAATTTTAAAAATTAAACCTTTTGCTTTCTTTTTCACAATGGGTTTGCCGTCAGAACGCAGGTTTTGTGAAAACCACCACTAATTCAAATCCAACATGGGGAAGGAAAAGACTCACATCAACATCATTGTCATTGGACACGTAGATTCAGGCAAGTCCACCACCACCATCCACCTGATCTACAAATGCGGTGGAATCGACAAACGAACCATTGAAAAGTTTGAAAAGGAGGCTGCCGAGATGGGAAAAGGCTCCTTCAAGTATGCCTGGGTCTTGGACAAACTGAAAGGTGAGCATGGTATTACTATTGACATCTCCCTGTGGAAATTTGAGACCAGCAAATACTATGTGACCATCATTGATGCCCCAGGACACAGAGACTTTATCAAAAACATGATTACTGGCACATCTCAGGCTGACTGTGCTGTCCTGATTGTTGTTGCTGGTATTGGTGAATTTGAGACTGGTATCTCCAAGAACGGGCAGACCTGTGGGCATGCCCTTCTGGCTTACACCCTGGGTGTGAAACAGCTAATTGTTGGTGTCAACAAAATGGATTCCACCTACCCACTCTACATCCAGAAGAGATTTGAGGAAATTGTGAAGGAAGTAACATGCTGGAGCTTAGTTCTAATATGCCTTGGTTCAAGGGATGGAAAGTCACCCGTAAAGATGGCAGTGCCAGTGGTACCACACTGCTGGAAGCTTTGGATTGTATCCTACCACCAACTCGTCCCACCGACAAGCAGCTGTGACTGCCTCTCCGGATGTCTATACAATTGGTGGTATTGGGACTGTTCCTGTGGGCCGAGTGGAGACTGGTGTTTTAAAACCTGGAATGGTGGTCACCTTTGATCCAGTCAATGTAACAACAGAAGTAAAGTCTGTTGAAATGCACCATGAAGCTTTGAGTGAAGCTCTTCCTGGAGACAATGTAAAGAACATGTCTGTCAAAGATGTCAGATGTGGCAACGTTGCTTGTGACAGCAAAAATGACCCACCAATGGAAGCTGCTGGCTTCACTGCTCAGGTGATTATCCTGAACCATCCAGGCCAAATTACTGCTGGCTATGCTCCTGTACTGGATTGTCACACAGCTCACATAGCATGCAAGTTTGCCGAGCTTAAAGAAAAGATGATCAACATTCTGGTAAGAAGCTGGAGGATGGCCCTAAATTCTTGAAATCTGGTGATGCAGCCATCGTGATGTGGTTCCTGGCAAGCCCATGTGTGTTGAGAGCTTCTCTGACTGTCTTCCACTGGGTCATTTTGCTGTTCCTGACATGAGGCAGACAGTTGCTGTGGGTGTCATCAAAGCTGTGGACAAGAAGGCAGCTGGAGCTGGCAAGGTCACCAAGTCTGCCCAGAAAGCTCAGAAGGCTAAATGAATATTATCCCTAACACCTGCCATCCCAGTCTTAATCAGTGGTGGAAGAACGGACTCAGAACTGTTTGTCTCAATTGGCCATTTAAGTTTAATAGTGAAAGACTGGTTAATGATAACAATGCATCGGAAAACCTTCAGGAGGAAAGGAGAATGTTTTGTGGACCATTTTTTTGTGTGTGTGGCAGTTTTAAGTTATTAGTTTACAAAATCGGTACTTTTTAATGAAAATAACTTGACCAAAAATCTGTCACAGAATTTTGAGACCCATTAAAACACAAGTTTAATGAGAAAAAATTAAACCTTTTAATCCAATCCAAGGATGGACTGATTTGGCACTTACATGCTGAGGAATGATCCTAGGGAAGTGCTAAAAGCCTTTGTTTTTCATAACTCTGCTTTGTGTTTCTGTAAGAGTAGGAACTGATATATAGTAAAAGTTTTCAGTTTATAACATATAATGCAAAAATCTGAAATATAACCGAGGTTTTTCAGGCTACGTTTGGTGGTGGTGTGTGCTATGACCATGTACATAGTATGTGTGTTATGTGCTCAGAGCCAATCCATTTTGATGCAACCATGGTGAGCACTCACAGAAATGCCCCAGATTCTGCACACATTTGATTTTGAAGTAATTTTTTTTGTTGCTGCACATTTAGAAACCTTTGACCAGTACTGCATTTTCACAACCTCCACAGTTAGTTACATGATGCCATATGGGGCCACGATCCACAGATTAGGTAGTCAAGTTTTACCCCACATAACCCTGATTACCTATAATAATTCCATTATAATCCTGATGGTCACACAGTCTCTTTGATTCTCCCGTCTCCAACTGAACATAACGCTAGGATGTTCCTCTTGCTCAGTGCGTTCAGAAAGGGATAACATTTTGAAAGCTCTTGATATAAAAGAACAAGGCTGATGTTGGCTAGCCGTAATTGTCTCAGGAGCTCCAGGTACCTTAAGACCTGACCAGTTGTGCTAATCTTGGTTTGGTAGCAAGGACAGGGTTGTGCCTCCCCTGGGTCCATGTGTTCTGACACTCCTGTCATTTGATCTTGCCTGCAGGTCAGTGCATGCTGTAAACTGGTGCACCCCTTCTTAGGGAACATTTTGGCATCATGCTCCCTATCCTCAAGCCTCTGTTCCTACAGGGCTCCCACTTCTCCTTCACACAAAGTGTGCGAGTGTTGGGGCTGCTGGAAGGGCAGTCCAATTTAACTCCAGAATGAATGGAATCTTGAATGGTTTGCACTTTCCTGGCACTTCAATTGCCATGTCTGTAATTTTAATAGCTTTTTTTCAACTGGGAACGGAACTGAGGTGCTTCTGGTGGCACTCACCTGTGCTGCATCACATGACACGATCACACACACACACACACACACACACACACACACACACACACACACACACACCAGGCAGGTTCTCTGTCCCTGAGCTGGAGGCCCAGCTTTGGCTGTATCTTTACTATTTTGCCATAATGTATCTTAAAATACTTTGTTGCTAAATTATTTCCACAGTATTTTTTTAAAGTGCATTGTCTCCTTTCATGTTCTCAAAAACCATAAGAGTCAAAACAGGTTAGGGAGATAGCTCAGTTGAGAAGTACTTATTGTGCAAGCACAAAGACTCAAGTTTGATCCCTGGCACCTATATAAAAAAGCTGGACGTGGCGGCACTGGCCACCTTCCCCAGTGCTGGGAAGGTGAAGATGGGCAGATCTCTGGGTCTCATGGGACACCCAGGCTAGTTTATTTGATGAGTTCCAGGGTCCAGAGAGAGACACTCCCCCTCTCTCCCTCCCTTCCTCCCTCCCCCCTCTCTCAAAACAAAATGGTGAGGGCTAGCAGAAGGGCTGAGCTGGTACGTTGGGGCAGAGACTGCAGGAAGTGCTAGCCTAACAGCTCATCAAGTCAGTCTGCTAATGTGGGGCTCTCAGCAGGAGGAGAATCCAAATCTTCCCACATCTTTCCTGATACCACTCCTAGGTGGGGATCTTGGACCAGCAAGTGTGGACAGGGGCTCTGGAAGTTGTATTGCTTTTTCTTTTCCTTTCTTAAAAATGGCCTTTCACATTTGTTTATTAATTACTGAGTGTGTGTGTGTGTGTGTGTGTGTATGTGTACAGAGTATATATGTGTGTCTCTGTGTGTCGTGTATGGAGTATATGTGTGTGTGTGTGGTATATGGAGTGTATGTATGCATGTGTATGTGTGTGTGTTGGGGGCAGGGCAGGGCAGAGGGAAGTCAGATGGAGACATTTTCTCCTGGAGTTGCTGTCTCCATCTTAATTTTTTTAAGACAGGGTCTCTCAGTCTCTCACTGAACCTGAGGGTCACTGTTTTGGCTAGATCAGTTAGTTGCTGAAGAGATCCCATAATCTTTCTGTCTCTGGACCCAAGCCCTGGTGTTATGGCACACATTGCCATGCCTGGCTTTCTTATGTGGGTGCTGGGAATCTAACTCAGGTCCTCACTATACCCAGTGAACAATTTCTCCAACACACATCCCTTTAAAAAACTTAAATTGAAGCAAGGTGTCTTTAAGTCACCCAAGCTGACCTTGAACTCACTCTGTAACCAAATAGGCCATGAACTTTGATTCTTCCTGGCTCTGGGATTGCAATCTTGTACCACCAGGCCTGGCTGCATGATTTCCCCCATCCCCCAAAAGATGCGTATCATTGATATACCTTATAAAAATGGGGACAGTCGGTGTCGTGCTCCCTCCTTTCCCCCTCTCCTCCTCCTACCCAGTCGCCTTAGCTGTCATGGACCCAGAAGCGCATCCCTTCCTGCAGCGGCGGCTGGTGGCCACCAGGTGGCGCTGCAGATCAAGGGTCTGGGAGGAGGAGCGTGGAGCGCGGCAGCACATGACTTGGGCTGGGGAGCCGGCGTCACGTGACGGGGCCCGGAAGCGGCTGTCCAGGCGACTAAAATACGATGGCTAGGGGTCGGTGCTGAGACTGTGCGGGGTGGGTTGAGCTGTAACTGGAGCCCAGGCCGGACAGGGCCGAGCGGTGAGTAGTGCGTGCTCTGCGCTGCGGTATCGAGTCACCTCTTGCTGTAGAGCCCGGCGCCGCGTCCTCCCACTAAGGTGCTGCTCAGGGACAGGTCACCCGTGGGGTGGGGTCTCCCGAGTCCCTTTGGCAGGTGTGCAGTTCCGGTTCCTAGATGGAGAAGGTCTCACTGATGCCCAGCTCCGGTCAAACCCACGTTTCCCAATGCGGCTGGACGAGCCATGCCCTTGCCTTCGGTCACAGGGTACCAGACTGCAACTCTCCTGCTCCGATGGGAGGGGAAACTGAGACCCAGGGTTGTGTGGTGCTTTCGAAATATCCCTGCGGCAGGGTGTCAGCTTCAGCAGCTGTTTGCCTTCTGCCACGTCGCCTTCTGCGGGAAAACTCGCCCTGCGAAGAGCCACTTGTCCCTTCCTCCGTGGGTCGTGTCATTGTTTAGCTCTGCTCTGCCTGGGTTCTCTGCACCAGGCTTGGGCTCTGGGTGTGGTTCTGTTTACTGATTTTTTTTTTTTTTGCACACTCGTCACTCTGTAGGCTTCGTTTCTAACCATCCTGCAGTTTTGTGTAAGTCACACGGAAATATGAAGTAGGAGCTGGAATAGGCTAGAGGAGCCAGGGCGTGGAGAAGCCCTGATGTGAACTTGAAGACCGTTTGTTTGCTTTGGTTTTTTTTTTTTCCCCGTAATTTGGCAGATTTTGGTAGCGACTGCCTATGTGGATGCATTTGAGGGGAGGGGACGGGGAGCTTGTTGAAACAGGTTAGCAACATAGTGTCCTGGAAGGAACTGACACTGGGGAATCTCACAGTATGTTTTAGCTTTTGCCTCTTGCTTGACGCCTAGGGTGACTCGGAATCCTCAGCTGGTTTACATTTTTCAGTATATGGTAATAGGGCTGATTGAATCTCCTGGTGTCCTTTTGTTCCGACATTCTCATCATTGAGGTCTGTTTGTTTGCTTTCATTCGGACAGATTTCACACTCCTTGTACACAAGGACTAGATCTCCTTCTGGAAGGAATTTTACCTGTACTCATTCCTGATTGTCTTGAATGAACTCCCCCTCCCCATTATGGCTAAACTAGACACTGGCAACTTATCTTTCTCACAACCAAGACCTTTTTGGGCTCTTGTTTGCATTCTAATTTACAGTAACCAACAGGTATATTTAGCATATAGGGTTTTGTTTTGTTTTTTGTTTTGGTTTGGATGGAACCCAGGGCCTTGGACACACTAAGCAAGCACTCTTCCCTTAGATTACATCCCGGCCTTTAATTTTCATCTATGGACCATATTTCTTTAAAGATGTTCTTGAGGTTGAAAGTAAGAGGTGTGGTTCTCAGCACTTAGCTTCAACTTGAGGCTGTGTCTGCCCTGGAGGCATATGTGCTTGCTGAAACCTCTTTGGTTTTATGTCTCTATTTTCTCTTTAAGCACTGTGGCTGTTTGCTTGGCCTCATCCATAGCTGTCTTAGTCTATCCCTGAGTCTAGGATAGAAGGGTTTGTTTATTCTGTTATTCTGGAGACTACAGTTGAGATCAGTGTAGTAAGGGAAGTGGTTTTGAGCATGAAACTTCCAAGGAATCAGTTCTGTTTTGTGTTGGATGCAGTGTGGAGTTCCCCGTCACCACATGGAATTGTCATTGGGCGTTTAGTTGATTACCTTGGGGGATGTTGCAGGTGAAAAGGCTGTGTTAGATAGAGAGCTGACCTCAATACTGTTCTGTTTTCCTTCTCTCTTTCCCCCTCTCCTTTTCCCTCTTTCCAAATGTCTTTCCTCCTAACTCCTCTCCCCCCTTTCCCTGTCTCCTATCTCCCTCCCTTTTCCTTTCTCTGTGTATGTGTGCATGAGTGTGTGTGAGTGTGTGTGTGTGTGTGTGTAAGTCAGAGCACAACCTTAGGTGATGTTCCCCAGGCACTATCTACCTTTGCTGAGACAGTCTCTTTCTCCTTGCTGATTGATTAGGTTGGGCTGGCCATGAGCCCCATGGCTTCTCCTGGCTCCACCTCTCCAACACCAGGATTATGAAGGCATCATTGTGCTGGCATTTTCACTTGGATTTGGGAATTGAGCTCAGATCTTTGTGTTTGCAAGATTTTCCTGACAGCTAGCTTGCCCACACCCCGTTTTCTTCCTTTTTGCCCCAGCTCCCCACTTCATGAGAGTCTCAGCTCTCAAGCTTCCTGGTTTCTTGTTGCTTCTTCCCATCTTGAAGCCAGACCTTGTGTTGGGCGGGTGAATGGCTTTGTTTCTGCTTTCACTGGCCATGAAGCTGCTGCTGATCTTTTCTAGACCCATGCTCCACCTCACAGGTTGGCACATAAGGTACATAGTGTGGAAACCGTGGGATGCTGAGTCTGAGGCTCAATGCATTGCTCTTGGAAACTTGGACACCCAAGCCAGGACTCACTGACAGGCTCGTGTGTGTGTGTGTGTGTGTGTGTGTGTGTGTGTGTGTGTGTGTGTTTGTGGGGACTCCTCTGTGCTGCTTTTCTCCATGAATTCAGCAGTCTGTCTGTGGGGGGCATTTCAGGACTTTGTTGCTTAGCTTAACATATCCAAGTTAGGGACCCGTATCAGTCCTTGTGCTAGTTTGATTTCTGTTGCTGTGACAAACACCGTGGCCAAAAGCAACTTGGGGAGGACAGGCTTTATTACATCTTATAATGAACGGCTTGAGGGCAGGAACTCGGCAAGGCAGAACTGAAGCGGAGGCCAGGAGGAACACTGCTCCCTGGCTTGCTCCCCATGGTTGCTCAGCCTGCTTTCTTACACCATCCAGGACCACTTGCTCATGGGTGGTACCACCTACAGTGAACTGGTCCCTCCCACATCAATCATTAATCAAGGAGATGCTTCACAGACTCAGCTCCATGGCAATCTGATGGAGGCATTTTCTAAATCGAGATTCCCTTTTCCTGGGTGACTGTGATGGCCATTCTTTCTTGTTAACTTGACTACAACTGGAATTAACCAAAACCCCAGCAGCTGGGTATACCTGTGAGGAGTTTTTTTTTTCTTAATTAAATCACTTGGAACGGGAAGGCCACTTTTAATCCAGATCTTTTGAGGTGGGAAGATCCACCTTTAGTCTGGACCACACCTTCTGCTGGCAGCCTGTGTAAAGGACACGGAAGAAGGAAGAGATCTCTGCCTGCTTGCTTTTGCTAGTGAGTTCGTTCCTCCACTGTAATTAGAGCCTACTTCTTCAGGGGCCCAGCGCACAATGAAGAAAGGCCAGCTAAGACATCCAGCCTGTAGACTAAATAGTTACCGGGTTCTTGTCAGTCCTGTTCCTCTAGAGAATCCCGTCTAATACAGTGATGCTGGCTTGAGGTGCCAAGTTGACAAAAATCGGGACAGTCCGGTAGTGTTTTAACTGGGAAAAGCACTGCAAATTTTGTGTAAAGGATCTTTCTCTGGTCCAGAGTATCTCTATGGTAACAATCACTACCATCACTGAAGGTCCACTGTGTGCCAGGCAACACGCCTGACTTTTATCTTCCTAACATTATTACAGCTTGGTGTGCTGGGGACATCTCTTCAGGTGAAGGAGTCCAGACAAAAGTAGAGAGAGTGACTTAGCTGAAGTTGCCCTCCAGATGCTAGCCTGTATATATCATGCAGAATACCCTCTGCCTACCTAGCTCTGGGACCAGTTTGGGGCTTAGGCATTTTAGAGCTTGTGCCATCTGGTGGTAGAGGGGTATTGGTCTGGAACTGTGGTTTGCTGGCTTGGAATCTCAGGTGACCTTTCTGCATCTGGTGGCTGGTTGGGGCCATCTCTGCATATCCTTTGGTTTGCCTCTGGATGAGGAGCTGGAGTAGGCTCCTCTGAAATCACGCCTGGCCCTGGCACTTGATGTGTGTGTGTGTAAAACTGAGCATGTTTGCCTGTCCCTTAGCTACCATGCACTGCTGATGACAGCAGCTGTCCTGTGGCTGCCCCAGCATGGGACGCCTTTGGGCACGAGACTGGATTGCAGAATACACCCTGGTGGCTTTGGTGGAGTGCCTCCTGATTCTGTTTCTAACTGTTCTTGTAGATGTAAGAAGTTTTCACTTCCCTCCGGCTAGACCACATTGGGCAACCCAGTCTGTGTCCTTTGGAATTCTAGTACCAGAGAAAAGAATTCGCTGCTTGCTCTGGGTTCCAGAGTCCAACTCATGGCCTTAAAATAACAGACTGTACTTTTAGTTTCCAAGTAACCTCCATGATGGGCTGGAGAGACGGCTCAGAGGTTAAGCTTTTCAACCCAGAGAGCCAAGCTTGGTTTCCAGCACCCACATGGGAGGGACGCAGCTGCATGTAACTCCAGCTCCAGGGGCTCCGTTGCCCTTTTCTGACATATAATCATACAAAATGCACATAGATATACATCAATAAAATAAATTGTAAAAACTATTTTTAAAAGTTACCACCAGCTCCTGACTGTGGTGGGAGGAGAGGCCTGAAGTATAGGCATCATAATAAGATTATATATTTTGAAGCATTTTATGTAAACTTCTGTCATCAGGGTCACTTAGGAAGCACAGTAGGACCGAAACTGCTGAGTGTTGGGGTGCACACTTGTAACTCAACACTTGAGTGACAGACTTAGGACAGTGGAATTTGAGATCAGTCTGGGTTACAGAGAGAGGAGAACTTGAGTCCAAAAGAAAGAAAAAAAATAAAATAAGGATTCCTTGCCTTGGCTGACTAGAGCCAACAGATAAAATGCACATTCTGTCTGATTTCTAAATTTAATGTAATAGCATTAAAATCTAGCAAAAAGAATCCATTTTCTTTGCAATTTCTCCATCTGATCTTAGAAGTCCAAGAAGTAAATTTTTTTGCATTTTAATATTTAACTGTATATATTCCAAAGTAATATTACTGTAACACATAGACAACAGAAAATTACAAATTCATGAGGCGTTGTGTCATTTGTATTCTAGTGTGCACAGGGTTTGGTTTTGATTACTGAGTTTGTTTCGTCTCACTTTGTAGCCTGTCCTGAC